GGCCTACCTAATATAATGGGTATTTGTGTGTCCTCTGCCATATCTAAAACAACAAAATCAACAGGAATAAAAAATTTACCAACTCTGACAGGAACGTCCTCTAAAATACCTAAGGGATATTTTACCGAACGATCTGCCATTTGCAAAGTTATATTAGTAATTTTTAATTCCCCCATATTTAATTTAGCACATATAGATGATGGCGTGACACTGACACTAGCACCCAGATCACATAAAGCTTTATCAATAAAAACATTCCCAATGTGACAAGGGATAGAAAAACTGCCGGGATCCTTTAATTTAGGAATAGATTTATTTTGCAAATAAGCGCTACACTCCTCTGTGAAAGCTACAGTTTCTACTTCATTAAAGGCCATTTTCCTAGTCAGAATGTCTTTCATGAATTTAGCATAAGCAGGTACTTGAGTGATTAAATCAGTGAAAGGAACTGTTACCTGCAGATTTTTCACAACCTCTAAAAACTTACCGAATTGTTTATCAAGCTTACTCTTCAGTTGTCTATTAGGGAATGGAAGCTTGATAACTGGGCTCTGCACAACTCCTCCCTTATCCTGCAATTTACCCTGCACAGAAACATTAGTAGGGTTAGTATCTTTTTGTAGCCCTGTAGGGCTAGCAGGATTACCATTTAATATAGAGGAATCTAGATCAGGAACTGGTCCATCTTCCTTTGGCGTAGGAGGTCCATCATAATGTGAACCATTCCTTAAAGTGATTGCATTAGCATGATCTGTAGGATGAATAGGTTGTGATGGTAAAGCTCCCTGCTGACGGGATTGTAGGGTAGATGAAAGTTGTGCAATTTGATTGTCCATGATTTTATTATGGGCTAGAATAGAATCAATTTGCACATCCCTACTCTCCATGTGCTTTTGCATATTAGCTAGCATCGCTCTAATTTCTGTCATGGCAGGGTCGGAAGATGATGAGGGTGATGCTTGGCTTTTCTTGCCGGCATTAGGATGATAATATTTTTGCTGTGGTGGGGGTTGCTGTTGTGGTTGTTGTGGAGGGGGAGGGTTTTGTACATTGGTACTCCGGTACGAAAGATAAGGATAGTTTTTATAACCGGCATTGTAGGAATTGGAATAGGGGTTATTTTGCCTATAGGTTTGGAAGGCATTAACTTGTTCCATAGAGCTCCTACAATCTTGCTCCCAATGACCTACAATTCCACAATTTTCACAAAAAGCTTCATGGTTAGCAACAGCAAAAACATTAGCTACAGAGTTAGGAGCAGCAGTAAGATTATCTAATTTTTGGCAAATAGATGTTAATTGAGCTTGCAAAAAGGATACGGAATCGACATTATGCTTTCCCTTATTTGCAAACCCCCTCGGATTCCCATATTGGGAATTGTGTATTGACATGTCTTCGATAACCTGTCCTGCATCATCCACATTTAAATTCATAAACCTCCCACTAGCTGCCGAATCTAGTACTGATCTAGAAGAATTTCCAAGTCCATTATAGAATGCTTGGATCAATTGCCATTGTGCTAGATTGTGGTGGGGGAACTCTCTCTGTAGATCCTTGAACCTCTCCCAAGCCTCATATAATGTTTCGTCGACCTCTTGAGCGAAGTTCTGAATAGCACTTCTTAGCACCGCTGTTCTCTCTGCAGGATAATATTTATTATAGAAATTCAAAGCAAGAGTTTCCCATTCAGTAATACCAAGTGCAATTCTATTCAAACCATTAAACCATAATTTTTCTTTGCCACATAAAGAAAAGGGAAAAAGAATCTCCCTGATTTGGTCCTGCGTAACCCCGACTTGTCTAATGGTGTTACAATATTGGCAGAAATCTGCGATGTGAAGATTAGGATCTTCACCCTTAGCTCCGCTGAACTGCTTCCTCTCTATCATAGTGATAAATTGGGTCTTGATCTCAATTGAACTCCATCTAGAGCCGGAGTAGGAGTAAGGTGCGGGAAATCTGTGAGATTCGGTTGCGAATAATCACTGAGTTTCTTCTGGGCCGTCATCTCTGATTCTGAATCTGAAGGAATATTTGTATCACTAGAATCAGTGGGAGGATCTCTTCGATCGTTGTCCTCCTCAGAACCCGCCAGAATTTGTCTATAGAGTCTCCTTTGCCTATGAAAAGAACGCTCGATCTCAGGAGTAAAAGGGATATCACTTGATCTAGAACACCTGGGCATAAACAAAGAACTAGAGACAAATATGAGATTTGCCTCAAAGAACTAATGTTCTCTGAGGCAAAAGGGGGATAATCTAGACTACAAAAATATAATCAGAAAATAAAAATAAAACCGTCTCCCCGGCAACGGCGCCAAATTTTGACAGGGTAAAGTCGTATCCCCGAATCAAAATTAATTACCTAAATCACTAACTAAGGTAGATAGGGAAGTAGGGTCGAACTCCACAGGGAAACAGGTCTTTTTAATTCTAATTAATTAATATAATCTAAATTATCTAAGTAACCAATATTTTGAATGTGTATTCTATACTACGAAGAATGAGTTTAGGGAGAAAAGAATCAATAATAAGGAAACCTAGGGTCACAGGTTCACCAATAATTAATATTCCGGGATAGAACGAAGTAATTAATAATTAACAATGCATAGATAATATGATTAACAGGCTCTCGCAATTTATTAACCAACATAGATCTAACAGGCTCTCGCAATTTATTAGACCTAAGTTCCTATTAAAAATGGCCTTTAATATTAAATCAACATCTGCTCGATTCATCAATTCAATATTGCTAAACATTCACAATCAAATTACATCTGCTCGATTCATAATCTAATTGCAAAGAATTAAAACAATTCAATAGGAAATTATCATGCAATATCAATAATCAATAATAACAAACTATCCCTTCATATTAATTATGGATCCCCATAAACCCTAGAATTAAACTACTCACTAATCATCATAACTAATCCAATCGAATAAATAATTTAAAACATAAACAAGAAAATAATTAAAATAGCTGAAATTAAAAAGGGAAGAAATTGTACCAAACTAAATCTGGAATTAATGAAGGAATTAAGAACAAGAGTTAGAGAGAATTTAAGAGAGAGAAAAATACTAAGTAGAGAGAGAAAGTCTAAGAGAAAGAAGGTAAGTAAATAATTCGTACAAAACGTATATATACTTCCCCTAAAACAAGAATTAACTAAACTAAATCAGATACTAGGAAAAACACGCGCCCGATCGGGCGAAGGGGCGCCCGATCGGGCCCGCCTTTTTTCTATGCCCAGTCTAAAGTGCCGCGCCCGATCGAGCTCACGCTCACCCGATCGGGCGCGCCTTTCTTGATAGCCTTCATGCGCGCAACCGCCCGATCGGGCGTATGCTTGCCCGATCGAGCCCGGTCTTCATCTTCAAGGCTTGGACTTCGATTGGGCTAGATTTCTCGGCCCAATCCATATTTCCTCTCGGGTCACGAATACATGGTCCGATTGCCTCGTGATCCAAATAACCGAGCCCTTAATCACTGGCTCGATGGCTCTAGCCAGCCTTGGGCTCCAAAAGTGGTCGTGTTCCTCCAATGCTCGTAGTCGCTTCATAAAAATCCCGGGAAAATGCTCCAAAGGTGCAATTCCCTGCAAAACTTAACCAAAACTACGAAAACACTAGAAAACACATATTAGTAATAAAAGTGGCCCTAAAGGGCCTAAAACACTACTAATTATGACCAAGGGACGGGGGTAAAACACTATATAAAATAGACATATCAGTACTCATCGAGATGAATAAAACTAAATCTCATATGACTAATTTCCCATGATATTTTATAGTTAAACGATTATAAATGAGACTAACAGTTTAAACATAACGAGTATATTAAATAAATGCATAGGCAAAAGACTTATGTTGATCAATAAAAAAAATGAGATTTGAAATTTCTTTTTTGAATTAAAATTTTAAATGGTCACATAAGCAAAATTAGTGAATAAGGTTTGGGATTTTAAATTCAAGCGTCATATAAAATAAATAAATAAAACAACAAAAGATAACTTTAGTGTTAAAATTTAAAAAATTATCTTATGATATTAGGAATTTTATCCGTATATTAAATGAATGATCTTCATAAATATACACAATTTTAAATTAAATAAAATAATTACTAGAACCGTGCATCGCACGGGCTTATATCTAGTGTATATATTGAGATGAATGCAATTGAGGAATAACCCTTTTATCTCCACCCCCAGTGATTTAGACCCCAACCCTGTGATATGGTGGTGGGAGGCTCGTCTGTATCTTACCATATAAAAATTTAAAAAAAAAAAAAAAAAAAAAAAAAAAAAAAAAAAAAAAAAAACTATATTCTCTTATAGAATATTGATAATCTATTAATCAATACTAAAACAAAAAATGCTTACATTTTTTTTGACACATGTCAAACTCTTATTAAAAAATATCCCGCCAAAACAATATATGATGTTATTTTTTTTATGGTTTTTGTTATTCTACTTAGCGTATTTTTTAAAAGTACATTGTGTAGTTATTTTTGGAAATAACATGCATCATCAACATAATATAATAATGTATACTATTTTTAAATATTTTTAACACAACTAATTAATACTCTGTAATAATTTTTTTCTCAATTTAATTTTAATAGTTTTGGCCTTATTATTTCAATTTTCTTATACATATAGAATTGCCCCATTTTTTATATTATATCACAAATTTAGTATGGAAAAAAATTATTACTTCATTAATCTACTTTAATGATGTTGTCAAAAAAAAATAAAAAATAAAAAAAAAAATCTACTTTAATGATCAAAGTTTGAAAATTTTGACCCAAATATTAATAACGGGGCAAAGTTTTAGGCGGGAGTAGTAAACATGAATGTACAAGCGATAATAACAAAACGAACGCAGTTGCATGAGAAACACGTGTCTTTGTTTAGAAGCCCACACATACCGTTTCTCATGCCACGTCCTTGCCTTCATTCCTCCATTCTCTCACCGCATTCATTCACTCGTTTCATACACTTTATATCCTACAAATCTAAAGTACCATATTCTATTTTTAGTAACTAAGTATTTAAATTTTGTAACACTACTCTTTCATCTTGATCAATTCACAATTAAAATTGTGTTGTGATTTATTCGTGCATCATGAATTTGAAGCATCTTTCGTCCACTGCTAATTCTGTCATCCATCGATGTTCATTGTACATTTTCTTTCTCCCTATCTATAATTTCATCTTCCATTACATGTTGGATGCGTACTTGTGTGCTTTATCTATGATCCGAATATATTAGTTTGTATTTGCGCTAATGCACGGGATATATAATTATATATATGGAACTGAATCTTATTTGCGCTAATGCACGGGTGTATGATTGTTTTTGTTATTTGTATTATTGCTGTTTAGCTGAATTAATTTCGTTAAGTGGTGTTGTTCATTTTGGTTCAGGTTATTGAAAATGTTAATATACACCCGAGTGCAATAGGTTTTTTTTTTTTTTGTGCTCATTGATGATTAATCGAGCAATAATCCTCCTTTAATCATCAAAATAAGCAAAAAATTTACCTTTGGGTGCACCTTGCACCCGTTTGTATGTAACAAACTTTGATATTTTCGTAATTCTCTATCGTTGTTAGTTTCTTCAATTTGGGTTTTTTTTTTTTTTTTATTGTTTGCACGTGGAAGGTGAATAAAAGTATAGTAGATTCTATAGTCTCCAAATTAAGAACTGTAAATTGAAGTTTATGGTTTTACCATGTAATCATACTAAGTGAGCAAATGGCGGAGTATGAAATGGTTTAAATGATGTTTTGAATGAAATTGTGGCATATTTTTGATAACGAGGGGTTTGGACCATGAGAAACCGGCATCCTCATGTGACTATTGTCTCCGGTTAGAGAGAATAAGTAACAAATGTCAAATCCGAGATGTAAACAATCGGTGTGTACTGGATTAGCTCAATATGAGTACATGACATTTTACTTGCTTCTGCTATCTGGGAAAGTTAAATTATGGTGCATTCTAAAATTTAGGACTACTATTGTCTGTTGTAATATCTCTAAAACATGGTAGAGTTTGGAGTACTATAAATTGAAGAGGAATTGACATGTTAATGTATAAATACTTAAATAGCCAAGAAGGTACGCTATACGAATATAACATGGTAACTGTGGTAAGAGTGTAGTTTCCGTATTAGGAAGAACATAGAAATTTAGATAAACCATTTCTTCAATCTAAGTTACTTGAATTTTTAATCATCCAATTTTGTTCATAGCTTGGTTTCAATTTGAAATACTTAAGGAAGTGTTGAAGATATGATTCTCTTTTTTACTGTGTAGGAAATTACACACCTCTGTGGATGCATTGCTGGAAGAATTCAAGGGAGTATGGAAGCCAGAGATGGGCGAATATGCACGAAAATTAGTGGAGTTTTGCTGCTCAAAGGCTGTAAGACAGGGGCCAGCTTGTGGGGAAGATGACTATATTAGTGATAGTTCCTTTAGCCGCTTTACATTTGACATGATGTTAGCATGGCAGATGCCGAGCTCTGCTGATGAAGAATCTTACAGGGTACATTTTTATGCATCTTTATTTATATGTACTCTCTCCATTCGTACTTGTAGCATATATACTATACCGTCTGTGGAGAACGTAGACCAGATAACATCATGTAAAAATAACATAAGAGACCTGCCTGGCAGCCTCTTAAGTTTACCCTTGTCAAGTATGCCAGTAAGGTAAGGTAGATGCCAAGCAATTTGTATCTGATATTTTCGGAGATAGATTTGATCCTCAAGTCTCAGTTTTGCTGTGCTTTAAGTGCCTTTATACTGTCCAAATTCAGCAATACAACATCGACGGTATGACATTCAATAGGATAGTCTGAAGACATGTCCCAACGAGAGTATAATAGTGCAGCCATAATGGAATAGTTTATTTCATGGAATTGTGTTGCTTTCAATTCCCTGTTGATTCGAGTACAGGTTCAATAGTAGTAATGATATGGCTGTATGGGAACCATCAGAATTTTGATATACATTTTTAAAGCATCTCTCATTGTGAATATTTAGTTCCCCGCGTTTGTATTGATTTATAGGAATCTTTAGGTAAAGAGAAAGAAGAGAAGAAATCCCTTGTAGCGACTCAACCACACGAAGATGTGTCATTGTTCTATTCTGATATCATGCCACTGCTCGTAAGATCTTCACATTTATTACAATTCTGTCACATTTCCATCATCTGTAGAAACAATTGTGGGAACCAGAAATATTTCATATATTTAGCATTTGTTTTCAGTCCATTGACAGCAATTTTGAATTATGACATTGCATTGGTAGGTTGATCATGGACAAGGTGTTAAGGAAGATGCTTTTGTGTGGTTTGCAACAATGCTCCCTTTGCCTGGAGATGTAATCAATGGTAGATTCATCTTCGAAACTCTTACGGCATCTACAGCAAACATTCTCCATTATCCAGCCTACGATAGATTTCTCACAGAAATTGCCAAGTGAGATGACTTTTTTATTCACAACATGTATTAGTTTGCTTTGCAATTTTTTGGATATTACCTCCATATAGACGAAATGGCATCATAACTATTCCAAATCTAAAGAAGTGCTTTATAAAATTAGTACTCCGTATTGATGTACTCCGTATTATATGTAGCCACCTATAATATCTTCCCTCATCTCCCTAAATATGTAAACAATCTAACTTTCCACTTAAGCTATCACGGTTTCATGAGTCTTGGACTTTCACAGGTTTAATTATTCTGATTTCACCTGGCATGAAGTTTATTTTTTTTGGTCAGAAGATAATAAAAGAATTGTAATGCATCATTCTTTTTTCCTGTGGCTGTCTGAGATATAACTCATGAATTTGTTCATATAGTAAGGCATTAGCTTACTTTCACCAAGGATACAGATATAGGCATTTTTTTAGTTTCGATTTTATTGGAATTATTTCAGGTGCATGAGGCATTTGCAAAAGCAAGGAACACCAAAGGGAGTCAAACTCGCTGATGATGAATATATATTGCATGTTGAGGGGACTGCTAGTAGTCAACGGGTAATCCGTCATATTAGAGGAACAAGCTGGCCAGGTTGGTTAAGCCATTGTAATTTAGCTTTTTTTTTATATAGTTTCTAAGAATCATTCTACATTGAACTCTGGAGAATTTTCACTTCTGCTGCTGTTCTATCTAGGTAGACTGACACTCACCAACTATGCTCTCTACTTTGAGGCCATGGGATCTATAAATCATGAAGATTCAATAAAAATGGATCTCTCAAGGAATATCGAGCAGAGTGTGAAACCTGCTGCTACAGGTCCATGGGGCGCTCCACTTTTTGATAAAGCCATGCTTTATGAATCTTCAGAACTGTAAGACTTTGAGCAGCTAGTTAGAATTAACCTTATTATGCTTTTTGTTTCATTTTTGGATCTGAAATTATTGTTTGATTCGTGAATTAAAATGAATGAAATTTTGTACATTGGACGGCATCAAATTACCCTAAGGGTGGAGATGAGAATCTATCCCAGGATTCCCTGGAATCGGGAAGGAGCTCTAACCACTTGAGCTATTTTCTGAATAAACTAATCTGAATCGTCTTCTGCTTACAGTCAGAAACTTCAATAAAACAGTACAGGCTTTACACAGCTAAAGTTTCCTGGCATACATTAAGATTTATGATACCCTTTTGAGTAATTCAAACAACAAGTATTTAAAATGCCGTATCATCCCTATCAAATCAAGAGTGGTAGTCCCTTGTTATGCAGGAACATGAATTAGATTCCACATCTTGTTGGTATAGGGGGACATTAGAATAATTTTGATAGTGAATTTTCAGAAAGCACTAGTGTACTGAAAAGCACTAGTTTCTATTAGTTCATTCTACCATCATAGCCAAACTTTCGAAATTGATGATTTGCGTATTTTCTTATAGGACTGAAGGTATACTGCTAGAATTCCCAGAATTAACCAGTTCTACAAGACGAGATCATTGGTTGGTCTTAACGAAGGAAATTATTCTTTTACATCAGTTCTTATCGAAAAAGGAGTCGCTACTGTCAGCAAACCAAGTATGGGAAATGCATGCAAGGACAGTTTTAGGCTTTACAAGGCTTCATGCTGCAAGAGAAATGCTTAGAATGGCACCTCCATTACCACAAAGATTTTTGATCTTTACTCTATTTGATGAGCTGCCTAAAGGAGATTATATTATAGAAGAACTTGCAGAAACTTTAAAGCTGATTGAAACTGAAGAACCCTGCAGTGCAAGTTCAATCCTGAAGAATCTGAACATGCCGCACAAGTTTGCCCCTGAAATGGAGTCGAAGGAATCAGATGTGGTTGAAAAAGTCACTTTAAAAAGTGCTCAAGAAGACAGTTTTGCAACATTGGATGAAGCTGTTACAGAGGTGAAGGAACAAGCAAAGGAAATCGAGTCGGCAAAAGCTACCACTGAAAGCTTTAAAGAAGAAGGGGTTGTTGATAGTGCTCTTGTACTTTTGGTAAGTTTGTACCCAAACTATATTAGGACTAATGGACTATAACGGAAAATTTTCTCGCTTGTTTAAACGGAGTATTGTAATTCCTTGGCATTTTGTTTTTCTAAATGCCATATATCCTTCCTTTTCTGATTTCACTATCTAGTAATAGAGTACTTGTCAGAGTGCCCTGAATTCTTACTTTAAATCGCTACTACCGACTTCATTGCACTTATGTAGATTACACTAGTTCCTTTCCATAGTGACTAGTCTAAGCTGCACCACTGTGTCTAAAGGTGTTGTCTTCAAGCCCTATACCATTTTATAGAAGATTTAGTTTAGTTCCATAATTGATGCTGGTCAGGATGAGATGACTGGTTCTGTTTCAGAATGGCATTCATTGTCTATAGAGAAAAGAAAGAAAGAGAAAATATTATGCCCATTGATAGGTGGTAATAAATTGTTGTAATGCTTATGACTTACGAGTTTGTACGACTTTACCAGCAAAATCACATAAAACTCACACTGCCGTCCATGCCGTCCATGCTAAAGTTAGGGTGTATCCTACTGAAGTCATTTCATCCTATTTATTAGTTTGTAATTGGGATCACGGGTAAAGCAGAGTGATTTTAACCATCATAATCTTCGTGAACAAGTTTTATGTTTTTAATTGGTATCATTTGTAGGAGCTCTTGAAACCACTGAAAAGCAGTTGGATTTGGCTTCAAGAAGTATTGGCATGGGAGAGGCCGGGTGCTACCATCAATTTGACCACTGCTATTCTCTTCATAGCCTACAGGTAATTTTACGGTATAAAGATCAATTTGTAACTGCATTTTTTAGTGTAGCAGGTTTGTTTTATCAGCAGTTTAATTGTAGGGAGTGGATTGGAAAGGCATTGGCTACCATCTTATTTTGGGCAGCCTATGAAATGCTACGAGCAAGGCAGCGGAGGATTGGAGACAAGTATAATAAGATGGTGGTTTGTACTGCTTCAGACCAGACAACAATGGAGAGCATTATATCTGCACAGCAAGGACTGAGAACTGCCCATGACTTGGTGCAGCAGGTCAACATTGCAATACTTAAGATCTACTCTATATTGGTTTCTAGAGCTCCCAAGGTACTTGATTCACTTGTTCTTGCCTCTCTTTTACACAAGTTACAAGAAAATAAAATATTAACATAATAATGGCAGTAACATGTAGACTCATGCTGGAGAACAGGACATTTTACTTAATTAGACACTGATTGCGGTTCTTTTTTGCAGCAAGCAAACACGGTGATGATGATGATGGTTGGAATAGCAGTGATAGTAGCTCTTATCCCCTTCAAGTATATGATTATGGCTTCCACCTTGTATCTATTTGCAACAAACTCAAAAGTTTACAAGAATCTCATGAAAAACGACTCAGCAGGAAATCGGCGATTGAAGGAATGGTGGGACTCCATTCCTGTTATTCCTGTGGAAACTGTGGACGAACTGCCAGAGAACAGATGATTGAGTTGTGAACTGCAGTCAATGTTTTATATAATTATACGACCTTAAAGGGTTTTACAACACACTTGGTAGTTAATAAACACTTGGGTAACAGCATTTTGCATGGAGCAATCAGCTGCACCAAGCAATACACTCTTTGGGCGATAGGATTAGTTTTGAATAAGGTATATACTTTCCTTTAAAAGCTTTTGTTTCGTTTATTTTTGTTTTAGGGGTAAGAGGTGCACAGAACACATAGCAAATGACTCCTGAGAGTTCTGAATGTATAAAGTTTCATGATTCTGCATAATTATATGGTCCTTTTAAGTAATATATTAATATCAGTGGCAGATCTAGTTGGTTTAGCTTAACTCAAACTAGATCCAAAATAATTCTGATTAGTTTTATTAAAAAAAAAACAAAAACAAAAAACAAAAACGGTTATATACATCACTATGCGCATAGTTTGCTTTGTATTTTTTAACTGATCGCCCAGGACGTTGGAGCCTAAAATATTACAGAGTTACACCCAGGAAAATAGGATAAGAAAGCTTCTAGACAAATGAAGGCTCTAAACAACAAAATGCAAGAGAGTGTAGCTTGCCCTTGAGTTTCTATATTTCTACTATCGTGCTTTGCTCATTTATTTTCGTCCTGTGATTTTTGATGGTTACTCTTTTTACATAAGCTGCAATTTGATTAGAATAGACTTGCTCAACTCTATTGATGTAAAAAAGTGATCCTTAACACATGTTGATAGAACAGTAAGTTTTCATCATGTTGGCAAGTTGATTAGAATAGACTAGCTACTTAAGATGCAAAACTCTGAGGATTGGCCCCAACAACCAAAAAGTGTTAATTTGGGAACATCAACCTATCGCAAAAATTATCTTATGTAGCCTATGTTCTGAGCTAAGCAAAAATGTACTCTAGTAATTAAGAGTCGATACCAATTTAAGTTAAGAGGTTTGTCATTTTGACAAGATGATTTGTGAGCAATAATTTCTACTCATTAAAAATAGTTTTGCATTATTCTAAATCATTACTCCGTAAAATACAACATCAGCAAAGGAACAGTTAGCCAGCAAAAACATAATACATGTGAATTTCAAACTTGTTTCCACAATAACAGAAGTTATACAACTTTTTTTTTTTTTTGTTTTTTTTTTTTTTTTGACAAGAACAGGGAAAAATTTATTAATTAAAACGTGAAGTATCAAAAACAACAGCATCAAGAGCACAAACAGGTACCTCTTCAATCCAGACCCTCATAACATCAAAACAAGTACTAAGTTTAGCAAGTCTATGTGCCACACCATTACCCAACCTTCCTACATGAGATAACTCGACTGAAGAACAAAGTTAAGCCAAGTGAAGAATGTCCCTCACTATAAAGCCAAACTGGTATTCTCACTCTTTTTGCCTTTTAAATGATGATAATGTTTTAGATAATCAGTCTCCAAGATCACTTTGTTCAAGCCACCATCAAGCGCAATAGATAGGGTGTGCCTAGCTAGCAGCAAAGGCTTCCAGAAATCCACAGCAAAGCTCCCCTTAAGCTTGCAGCAGGTGGGCAAGGTGGCAGCCATCACATCTCCACCACGAATTACTCCCCCAAGACCCGCTGAACTATACATAAAGCAGGCAGCATCAGAATCCGCTTTAAAAAGGCCCATAGCAGGAGGCACCCAGGTATTACGAACTGGTTGTCTGCTGCAAATATTGGAGAAGACCTTCTTTACAGCTTTTCGGATCACATCATCAATTAATCTGAATTCTCTTTTGCTCAAAAACCAGGCATTTCTTATCAACCAAATACCCCAAAGCAAACTCCGGAAAAAAATTCCACACTCAACTTTTTTAACAAAACCAATGGAATAAACCCAGTTTAAGACAGGTTCTCACCTTTCATTGAGTCCAAGCAAAGGGGCAAGAAGTGGCATATTTCCACGGCTGAATTGCATAAGAACAGTGTGCATCAAGGTTTCAGCAGATTCACCTCACACTGGACATATGTCGTCAATACAAACACCTCTTTTCTTCAAATTACTGCGAACAGGGATCCCACCATTGAGAGCTCTCCAACCACAATGTTTAATTTTTGGTAAGACATTTGCAGCCCATGGTGACACAGATGAAGAAGCGCGAGATGGGTCTCTCTTTGCTTTGAATTCCACATAGTAAGCGCTTTTGGCAGAAAACTCACCATTATCTGAATGGTGCCAGGTCCAGCTATCCTCCCCACTATAAAGAGCAATAGGAATTTTAGCAATTTCAGTCACTTCCCATCTTGAGAAGCTATCACTCAAAATTTCAGCATTCCAAGAGCCCTCACACATCAATTCAGAAATAATATTAATAGCCTCATCCAAAGTCTGCAGTCGTGGCAGAGCTTTGAAATCAAGCATATTTGGGATCCATGGGTCCCTCCATATGTCAATTGAGGATCCTTTCCCAACCATCTTTCGAGCCCCCTTTCTAACTACATCCCTTGCAGACAAATAGACCTCCACGTGAAGCTAGCACTCGGGTTAATTTCACATCCATGACGTCAACATTCGAAAAATATTTGGAAAACGTTCAGAAAATAACAGAAACTTACTAAAACAAACATTGGGACATAGAGCGTATCATCATGGAACTTACCAGTGCCATCGATATACAAATTGCACAACATAAAGTAGCATACACGAGACACTGATAATAATCAACCAAAAATATTTAAACTAGTAGAATAAGTTTACAGCAGGAATTTAATCCAAAACTACACTTTCCATTTGAGAAATATGCAAATTTTATAAATAGATTTCAAACTATATTGTCAACAGTTGTCAATACAGTTAAACTTAATCAGCATGTTTCCGACAAGAATGCTACACATTAATTGATGGTAGAAAACTAGAAAGCTTCCTCAACTGTAGACTTGCCAAAGTAATCAAACAGCTGAATATTGAGCACATTTTGCCAAAAATTGTGTAGAAATATAAACATTAAAAAACTCACTTAGGTCATAGATCATATTTTGTCAACAAAATTTACATTTCTTTCAGAACTAATTTCAGATGAGCTAAAATACACAATAGATTTGTCATTAAAATAAGTTATTTTAACAGTTTTGGCAATTAGATTATGTAAGGTTAAGACTAATCAGCCTCAAAAATCACAGAAAAATAATAGACTATTATTTCACAACAGAAGGAGTCTGATGTAGCCTATGATTTCCAAATCAGCTAAGCATAGATCTGGCTCAGTGTTCAACAGTCTAACAGCATTTGAAGTTCGGAGTTTGGATGACTAGTCAATATTGGTCAGAAACAAGATTGGACAACAAACAAAACTAATTCCTTTTCATTAAGCTGATGTATAGAAAATCATAAGTATACTAAACATCCTCAAATCAACCATTAGCTATTTCGTAATACAAGTGAACAAAATTGTCAAGAAAATGCAATTTTCAGCAGCCATATGCTCCATGGCTCAGCTACAATTCCAATCTCATTTCCACAATAACAGATTTTTAAAAACAACCATCACACCCGGTTTAATAGTTTAAGACTTTAAGTTACTGCAAAATAGACAATGTCAATTCAAAATGCAACCCAAGAAAAAGAGTAAATTGATCAACTACAACGAAACATTCTTTACTTTTCAACCAATCCGAAACATAATCAACCAAAGAACCAATAACAATTTGATGATATCCATTTACTACAAAAGAGATACTATACTTTCATACATTGTTGTATTGCGATTCATACATTGTTGTATTCCAATACCAAAATTTGATAACATCATCTACAACCAAATTAATTAATGTAATACTCCGTGTAAGTAATAATATTGAAAGGTAGAGTAAATCAAAACATGACAAGCATAGAAAAGAGACAATAAATCAAGAAACAAGGATAAGCAATTAACCCACGATTTTCCGAAGCGCCCAACTCATCGACAGTCAAAAGGCGAGAGCAGACCCTAGTAGCCCAGATCACGAAAACCGCCGCAACAACAAACCCAGGTGTAGATCCAGTAGAAGGAAGAAAAAGCGAAGCAGCAGAGTAAATAACAATAGGCATCAAACAATACCCAACAACACTAAAACATCGATAGAGATCCAAATTCCCGTTTCTCCCAGCAAGAAAATTCAAGATGGTGTAAAGAAAAATGGAAGAAATCGCAATCCAACCAAGAATGACACCAAATTGAACTTTCCCAGCGAGTAATTGGAACAACCCGAATGCGATGTAGTACAAGAAAGGGCCAGAAAGATCGGGATCGAGGTGGAGAGATGAGTTGACTCGAAAAGGGTTGAGTAATGAGCGAGTTTTGTGCCAGATTAAGGAAGGGTTGATCTCGAGTTCTTCGAGAAGAGGGGGTTCATCGGAGAAGAGGGCGCCGGAGGAAGAGGAGGAGGGGAGGTGGGGTGGTGGGAAGGCGGAGGAGGAGGAGGAAGCGGTGGCGGAGGAGATGTCGAAGGACATGAAAGGGAGGGAGGAGGAAGGGCGTTGGGGTTGGAATGGTGCAGTGGGGATTCGGCGTTGGTGCAGCATGTTGGTGGTGGTGGTGGTCGCCGGAGATGAGCCGGATGACGGGAAGGAGACGGGTGGGATGCGGAATTCTTTCGGCATTTTTTTGGTGTTAGGAGAGAGAGATGCGTAGCAGGAGGGCCCTTTACCTTTAGGTAGCAAACGGTGGTTTTTGTTGATGACTGTAGTTAGACAAGGTACTCGATCGTTTCTTTTCGTTTTTGACATTCAAAATTACAATTGGTCTTGTATGGATCGATCTACAATAAATTATTCTAAATCCAAAATTTGACACTTTTAAATAATATAATCACATTCTGGATGATATAATCACTTTTTTAAGACGATATAATCACATTTCGTATGATATAATCACATTCGTATGGTATACTAGAAGGTTGGGTCTACAACTATTCTAATCTTTACTTCAGACTTATGCACGTTTATATAGAAATTGTGTAATGTTCTAAACGTTTTACGGAGTTGTTGGAGTTCTTATATAGTAGGGTATAAATGAGCCGAGTCGAGTACTATCTTGCACACGTTCAAGTAAAATATTAAATAGACGAGTTCGAGCATAATTAAGTGAGCTTAAAAACCTGTTTAACCTCGACTCATATAGTACTATATGTCGCTATATGTTCACGATCAATTCATGAACGAGCTTCTCTAATAGACAAGCTTTGTAATTTTGACATTTATAAATCTCAAAATTAATATAATAATTAAATCTTAGTTATAAACCAATGAAATAAATCTTAATTATTTTTAAAAAATAAATAAATAAACTTTCGAATCAAACTAACACTTATGTATAAATCAATAATTCATGAATATAAATCAATGAGTAGTTCACAAACATAAATAAACGAGTTGTTCATGAACATATCTAAACGAGGATATTTAGGTTCATGTTCAAGCTCATTTATTAAAGGAAAAATTGTCAAGAATAATCTCAACTTTGCTCCGTCAGCTCAAAATAATACCAACTTTTGATTATCTTTTAATAATCTCAACTTTATACTCTATTCGTCCAAAACAGTCTCAAGTAACCGGTTACCTATTAAACAGGTAAATTTTTTTAAAAAGTTTAATGTACAAATGTCACCTCATATTTGATCAAAAGTTTTTTTTTTAAAAAAATAAAAAATAAAAAATTAATGTTAATATTTATATTAGTATTATTATTATGAACTAGTTAATTTATAAAAAATAAAAATACCCACCCCTCTAAACACTATATTTTCTCTCTTCTAAAACATTAAACCCTCTCCTTTGAAACCTAGAACTCATCGGAGAACCAGCCGCGGGAGTTTCGGCGCCGCGGCCAGTTCTCCGGCGGGTTTCTCTCCCCTGTTTCTACGTTTTTCTTTAGATCTTGTTATAGCGGTGAAGTCGAAGTGGAACCAGGCTCCTACAAGGGCTTCTACCTCCACTTAGTTTTATCCTCTTCTCGCCGAAAAGTTATTGTGATGGTGTTCTTTTGAGTTTTTTTTTTAAAAAAAATTAAGTAGAAATAGCTTTGTGGTTTGGGTATTGGAGGGTAAGAAGGTTGTTTTTTCAGTTTGGGTTTAAGGTTTCGTTGACAAAACAAGTTTTCACGACTACCTCTAACGTCGCCGACTACGGGTGATCAGAAAGATCGAGTTGGTAAAGGTAAAGTTAGGGTTAAGGTTTGTGAGTTTCTTGCGTTGGGCTATATTCTCGTGCCTTTCCTCCGTATTCTTCATATATTCGGATCGGGTTCGTTTCTATTGGTTTTCGTGGCCTCCGTTGAAGTTAGTCGAGTATTGGCCTTCACGGTAAAGGCTGCAATCGGAAGTCGGCATAAGTTGGTTGTTTTTCTTGCTTTATGGCCTTACTTGTTTTTAATAGTTTGGAATTAGTTTTACTTGCTTTTATGGGTCTTTGATCTAATTTTGATGGTCTTGGATGCGTTTCTCTTTGTTCTTATTGGAGTTTGTCAAGGTTTTTGGGGGACTTAAATGGGTGTGTTATGCTCCTATTTATAAGAATTTTGGACATGCAAGTTTCGTTTTGTGGGGAATTTTCCATCATTGTGGAATGGTTTGGTTGACAAGGTTGGTCATGGCTCGTAGTTTGTTTGTAGTTTCCTCTTTCGATTTTTTCGATCGAAGGAGTTTCAGAAGGATGTCCCTTGACGTCCTTTGTTTGAACCTAATAATGGATTTTCAATCTATTACTTATCCTAACACTGCTCCCCAAAATGAAATGTTCGGGGGCCTTTGAAAGACAATTTTGGAGGTTTATAGTATGTCAATGGTCTCTTCCTTTGAGAAGAGATCAATGGTACCCACAGTTAAGGGTATCGCATCACTTGAATTGATGATTCAGTTTGTGTTGTTAAGTTTTGACCACTTTGGTTTCCTGCCCCATTTACTAAATGTAATAGGCACTTGGTGTCCTTTTTTGCTCGTTAATATGTATGCCAAAATTTGTTTGTTCGTCATCGTCCTCCAATGCATTCTCCAAGTTCAATGGTGGAATACATAAATGAAATGGTGTGTTCCTCGTCACATGCTTGAAGACAAGTGGTAGATTATTCAAATCGGCATGATCAAACATGGAAGTACTTTAATTTAAGTTTTTCTCTTTGTAATAGAAGAGCTAGCAAGACTCATAGGTTGTAATACTTTTATATCTATTTAAACCGTTGTTAAAAAAAATTAAAAAAATTAAAAAAAAAAAAAACCACCACCATCCCTTAGCTTAGCACTACCCAGGCTCAACCCCTCCGGCCGGCGCCACCCCATCCCTCACCCCTTTAAATTTCGGCGCCGAACCACCTTATAGGAGACCGTATGTCGACTTGAGAGTTCAATTGTTCGAAGCTCTTTGAAGTGATAGAAGCGCAATTGGTCGAGATACTTTAATTGCTCAAGTAAATTGAAGCTCAATTGATATCATACAATTCCATCTTAATCAAGTGATATGAAGGAAAATATATGGCAGACTTTTCTACACCAATTCAGAATGTGAGTAAAATTATTCGGTTATACGAACAATGGGTAACTATGAGTAGGGGTGTACACCGGTCCAAAACCGGACCGGACCTGGACCGGACCTGTTTGGACCGGGGACCTAAATTGGGTAATTATGAGGACCGGGGACCGGACCTGAATTAACAGGTCCGGTTCCGGGCCAGACCTGAAAAATCAGGTCCGGTCCGGGTTTGGACCTGAATGGACCTGTTTTGTGTCTTTTTCGTTTTTTTTTTTAATACAAAACCTGTTGGACCTGCATATGGACCTGTTTTGTGATTTTTAGACCTGTTGCATAATTTAATAATTACATACAAACCAAAAATACCAAAAATACTTGTGTCCACCGAAAACTACATAAAGTCTATAAAGTCCCGATTCTCAAACACCAAAAATACAAATGAGTCCACCGAAAATACAAATAAGTCCACGAAAACTCATAAAATTACATAATCTTAAGTCATTAAGGTATTTGTGGCCCATATCTTCCATACTTTCAATTTGGGTTTCTGGCAGGAAGCCCTGAGGCATCCATAGTAAGACAACTTCCATCTCTTTGAACTTGTAATCTTTTGGAAACACAGAACAATAAGCAAAGACACGCTTCAAATGATATGGCATATGATGGTAACTCAGCCTGAGAACAGGTAAAACACTGCTCTTCTTCTTCTTCTTCTTCTTCTTCTGTAAAACACTGCTATTCAATCTTTTTTTTTTTTTTTTTTTTTACAAAAACTAGTATCTAATATTCTAACTAGTATTATCGCAATTAGGGAGAAAAGTAAAATTAGCAAGGTAGCAGCACAAACCATATTGTCTAGAATCCCTTGGTGAGAGTGATCATCTTGATCTTGATCTTCCTCCGCCTTTTCCAACTCGTAACGCTGGGCTTCAATTGCGAAATGATCCAAGATATCCTCCATGTCGTAAGCTAAATCTTGGAGATCATTTAGCCATAACTTGACAGGTTTGCTGTGAAACTGCTGCAGCTCAGCATCCTCCAACAGAGCTTCCAACACAGTAAGTTGCGTTTTCCATTTATTGATAGTTTTGGGCAGATCAAATCCGCCAATCAGCTTCAAGAACTTCTTCCCTCCAGTTTACAGCATCTGCTCAAACAACACCTGCAGAAATGCTGACAGAAATGTCTCACCAATGGCCATCCTTGATCAAATCAGCTACTCAGATATGAGAATTTGTTTATTTTGTGCTCTAGGTGTAATAGAGTTGGCCATAAGCAGATACTTTCTCTTTGAATCCTTATATGTCTGTTCCTTTTTTGGTTGACAAGAGTGGGTTATGTAAGTCTGCTATATTGCTTGCCCAGAATCTCTCAAACATGAATATTGGCCTAAAGAGAACTGAAAAATTTAGAACAACCACAGTGAATCTCAAGAGTTTTTTCAAAACCATCGACCCACCTCAACCCCAGAACATTCAATCCAACAAAAGACCCCGTGAGTTTGCTACTCCATCCTTCTCACCTTTGAAAAGGAGGAAATCACAATCGGAACCAACAGTACACATTTAACCTTGCTCCAAATGAATCGAGCCAAACACCAATCCAACCCAATTTCTCAATCCACAAAAAACCCCTACACGCTCCGAAACAGAACCAACATTGCCCTGACTCCTTTCAACCACTCCAAAACCCCCTCCAATCCAAAACACCACCCAGCCACCCCGAAAACCCATCTCCACTCTCGGTGACCCTACCAGCCACCACGAAAACCCCATCTCCACTCCCGACAACCCCATCAACATTCACAATTTTCCATCCAGCCATCCCAAAAACCCCAGCTCACCACCCCAACCCACCCCACCCCACCCCACTGCCACCCCTTAACCCTTAACCCCCACACACCAGAACCGTACCACCGTAACCCCACCATAACCCCACCCCAACCCACCCTACCACACAAATTTTCGCACTAAATTAATCTTAATAATCATAATAAACACAAAATTTTGAACTAAATTTCGCACTTGAACCCTAAACCCTAAACTTCTTAATTCTAATGAACCCTAAACTCAAAAAAACCAAAAAAAAAAAACAGAAATTCGAAAGAGATGAACTAAAAATAAGAAATTCAACATGCAAACATCAAACAATCATTAAAAGCAATTGAAAATTTGAAACAAGAATAAACATATAAATTCTCACACTTAATTTATTATTTCGAATTAAAAATACCAAAATTATAAGCAAATACTTACCAGATATTATCGGTGTGCATCGCCTGAGAGAATGAGGGAGGTGTCGGCAGTGGGCGGTGGCCGGAGCGAGTTGGGACAGCCGGACAGTCGCGTTGAGAAGTTGAGATTGAGGGAGGCTGAGAGTTTGGGCTTAGGGAGTTAGGGTTAGAACTTAAAAATATGAAAGAGATTGAGGGAGGCTGAGAGAATCAGATTTTTTTTTTTTTTTTTTTTTTTTAATTACGATTTCCCGGGTTTCAGGTCCGGACCTGAAAACCCCGGGTTTGGACCGGGTCCGGACCGGGACCGGGAACCTGGATTTTTAAGAACCGGGACCGGACCTGAATCAACAGGTCCGGGTCAGGTCCGGTCCGGTTCAGGTCGGTTCAGGTCCGGTTTCAGGTCCGGGCCAATTTTTGTACACCCCTAACTATGAGCAGAACGAGAACAAATAGTAAAGGCTTACGTTTCAGGAGGGTGTTTGGGCGGCGCCGATGTCAAAGGAGGGGAGGGTGTCTGACTGTTTGGGCGGCGGCTAAGGGAGGGGGAGGGTGTCTGGGCGGTGGCCGGCGCTTGGAGGCAGGGGGTTGAGCTGGGTGTGTGGTGTTGGGGTGGCTGGGTTGAAGGCTTTGGTTTTTTAAAATTATTTTTTGATTTTATTTTCTTTGATTATTTTTTATATTTTGCTTTAAATTTTTTTAACCAATAATAGAATAATACGTGTCTGATAATTTGTAACAACAAGTTGAATGACCGGTTAGGATTGTTTTGGGCGAATAGTGTATAAAGTTGGGATTACTAAACAAGTAAACATAATCGAAAGCTTGAGTCACTTTAAGCGAACGGAGCAAAATAGGGATTATTTTTGGCAATTTTTCCACTATTAAATGAGCTTCAAAATTTTGTTAAATATAAATTACTTTTACTTTTAATTTGTAAACTTTATTTCAATTCATTAAATATAACTTAAGTTCAACAAAGATAGTTTTTACCCAGCAAACATAATTACCATTCAGCAAACATAAGGTAAGAGAAAACAGGAGTCTTAATGCTTGATAGTTGATATATACTCCCTCCTTTTTTAAATACTTGCTTCACTTTCCATTTGCGGCCGTTTTTAAATATTTGCTTTATTTCCTTATTTTGAAAGCTTTTACAATATTTAATCAATTTCTCTCACCTAGTGGTCCCAACATATATCTTCTCTCCTCCAATTCTCTCTACTACTTTTGCTTTCTATAATTTTTTATTCTTCCACCAACCCCACTTCCTCTATATTTTATTAATTTCTCTTAAAACTCCGTGCATGGAGAAATAGAACAAGTATTTAAAAACGGAGGGAGTACCATATAAACCATAGATTGGCAATATTACCCAATCAATATACTGGCTATAATCATTTATAATGTTCTGGTGCATAACAATTACAAAATTTTCAGGATATCCTGTTTTGAGACCTCGATTAATATATGTTCCTAAATCTTAAAGTATGTAGCTTTGGAGTTAAATCTAAAGGTTAAAGAACATCAAATTCATCATCTTTCATACTGCACTCTTAAGAAATCTAGATTACATGCAATTGAGTTTACACCATATAGAGACCAATAAGAACTAGAGATTCTCAGAAAGGCACAGCTGGGCTGTCTTTAATCTACCAACATCAAGTTCTATTTTTCTAGGTCAATTTACAGAGAATATTACTTGCACTAACAGAATCCTAACACTTTGTTACAGCCTAAAGGTTATATCACGCATTTATAGACTACAGAAGTCAATTGAGAGCACTAGTTGCATAGGTCATGCAGTTGAATGTTTCCATTGTAGCTACCTCAGGAATTCATAATCCCCGAGCTTTCTCCAAGTCGGGAAGATCTACAATGTACATAAAAAGAGGTTTATCAGAATAAATTGCACAAATACTGCACCGTCTTAATGATAGTTTTTTCACAGAAGATTGGTATATACTAACACAAGCGAGATCATTCAAAAATAACAAATGAGCAATCGAAATTAAGATCACGTAAATGAAACAAGATCTTAGAACTCACAGAGTAATCCATCATCATCACTGCTTTCCCCATCATTATCCTGCAAAAGACAGATTACGGCCACGTGAGTAAATAGTACATATCAATAATCCTCACCTCAAGAGTAGAAATTCATTGTATAGGAATAACAGAAATGTTATATATTACCGCAGCAGTATCATCATTGTAGGCCAACTCAGCTGCAAGTGAAACAGAAAAGTTTTTAGCAATAAAATGATGCCTTACAAGAAACACTTAAAAAGGTACACTCATAAACGGGGTCACTAATCACAATTCCATATACAAGAATGCCAACTCTAAGCAAGATGTCATAGACCCGTTATCGGCCTCCACTGAGTCACCATTGAGGGTGTACACAACGAAGAAAAGTGGAAGAGGGGACAAGAATCAACCACAGCAGTTGGCAGAGGACACTTCAGCACATGAAGACAAGGGTCATTACGGAAACACCAAGGGAGTGGCAACATGGGTCTGATTTCTGAATTGCTAAAGTGCAGAAGAAGATAAGCTCCAATCAATAATATGTTATCTTTTGTTGTATGGCTTGATTATATAAAGAGCAGTAGAATAGTTGTGAGGATTATGCGGTGATTTGAGAGTGATATTTTGTGATGAGAGTAGTAGCCTAATGCTACCCTTTTGAGAGTGAGAGCCTCAAGTTATCAGCTTATCCCTGTAAACCTTCAGCTTCAATTAATCAATCATCAAGCTTTCAATCTATTTTCTATTCAATTATTTACAGTTGCTTATTACAAATTTCAGTCAATTACACGAGAATGATATAACTTCATGCAACCAAAACAGTCGGGAAATCAGAAAACCTTGAAAAGATTCACAATGCCTGATGTGACCCTCAACTGTCACATTGATAGGTAGTTTGATTTTCATAATGAAGACCACAACTATTGCATATTGAAGTGACTGGAAAAATGTTAATGCAAGACCTTGAACTAAAACAAGAGTGACCTTTGCCATAAGCACCATCACATGAATTTGAGATAACTCAAGCCGAATAGTTTAGAAAAGACTTTCCAGAGAAATGACTTATTTTGGATTCAAAATGCGATTAACTAGAATAGACTTGTTCATCACCGTCAGTATGATAGCAATAGACTCGTTAAAATCAATAAAGGCTATCATGGACTTATATTTGAATCTGAACTCACGCATGGATTCGCTGTAGCGTTTTACCATGCAATGTTTTTAAAAAGGAATATACATATAGTCGTGACACTGATACTTTGCTGCAGATAATTGAGACTAGTTAATCAACCAGCGAAAATGTTTCAGCATTAATAGTTTCCCATGAAGCATAACACTTATTGGCATGTCATAGTTCGTATAAATTGGTAATGAGAAATTGAGAATGCAAAAAATTGAAGTTGTTGATAAAGAGCCAGTCAAACCAAATTCTATTTTTCTGTTCTATGGTGCTTTCTTGGTGGGAACTAAATGATATCTTTCTTTGAAGTTCTAAGGTTTCAAAGGTGTTCCTGCAGCTTGAAAAAGAGGTTGAATGTGAGTAGATGAAAGGTGGAATCTAGATACATAGAATCATGTACAGGGAAAGAGAGGAATTGGAAGATTTTCAGGGAAAGCCTAATCAGGACAAGTGTTTATATTCTATTTTGTGAGAATTTCAACCATATTTGCATTAGCATCAAATGTCCTTTGTCCTTGATTTTATAGATAATATCATGGATGGTTGTATAACCTGAGAATATTAACATCTGTATATGTTATCTTGGTATAGGATACCAGTGTCTTCAAGGCATATAGACCTAAGCCTTCTTTTTGTATAGAGCTAATACCCTCTTGGTGTCTTCTAGCAAAAATCTTCAACACCAATTCCACCAAAAAAAAAAAGACTAAAACAAACAACTACAAGAGGTTTTGGTAAAGAGTGATTGGAGAAATTCACAAGATTAGACTAAATAATCACCTAAATAGTAGATTTGATCAGTAAAGTCACTATTTGATGGTGCTTAATTTATAATTATTTATATGAGTATAGTGGTTCAGCAGTTAAACTTAATCATATTTAATACGCTGGCTTATTAAAAGAAGCAATTTACATAGCAGGTACATATACACCACAATTTTTTTTACAATTATCGACCCATTCGAAAGAGTTTCAGAGGGATACAAACCATAGAATTTCTATTAAAAAAAAAGGAAAAATTGCAAAAAACCACCTTTTATAACACCTTTTTTGCGAAAAAACACCTTATAAAAATTTTCTTGTAAATACACACCTAAAACCACTTTTTTTTTTGCGAAGTAACACCTTAACCCGGTTTCCGGTGTTTGACTTGGTTTTCCGACGTTGACTTTGCACGTGTGGGTCACGTGATCTTTTTCCTTTATTTTTTTTTTCTCTTTTCCCTCACCGCCACCACCTCGCCACCACCTCACTGCCACCCACACCAACACCACCTCACCGCCACCACTAATTCACTACCACTCTCACCAACACCATCTCACCCAATATGCTCCCATGAAAATTGCACCCCGTTTATTCATCCCAATCCACCCAAAAACCCCACTTCACCTCTTCATCCCCTTCCTCCATTAAAGCCCAATAGAGCAAGCACGATTGATGTACATTGGCCTCTCGAAATTACTCCTAATTTCATCATTTGTGGGCAAAAACGAAGACCCCTAATTTTCAATTACAAACCCTAATTTATGAAAATTCAAAAACCCAACATAATTTACAAGAAATTTCAGTCATTACAACAACTTACCCTACTTGAAATTAGGTTGATTGCAACAATTCATGCTTTAAAATGCAGATTTCTTCATCAATGGTGAATAATTGGGATTTTGTTGGAGAAGAAGAGAGGAGAGAGAAAGTTAAATTGGATAAATGGAGGGTAAATTTGGGGGGGGGGGAAAGAAAAGGGGGAACTCACCGGAACACGTGCTTCTCACGTGCAAGTCAATGCCTGAAAACCAAGTCAAAGGACGGAAACCGGACTAAGGTGTGATATCGCAAAAAAAAAAAAAGCGGTTTTAGGTGTTCTTTTACAAAAAAAAAAAAAAATTATAAGGTGTTTTTTTACAAAAAAGTTGTTATAAAAGGTGATTTTTTGCAATTTTTCCTAAAGAAAAATGATGTGCTCCCATTGGTTTGACGACACAGAATCTAAAGAAAAACAATTGGCATTCTTAATTTATTGTGTGTTATTTGGTAGTGGAGTATATTTTTTATTATTGTTAGTAGGAAGGGAGACATCGCTTTTTGAGGGATTAAAATGTAATATAAGGGAAAGAATTAGTAAAAAAGAAATATGGGTCTTTTACCCCAAGGAGTAATGGATTCTTCATGACACATCCAAATAAAAACAAAAAACTTACAGTCTGACTCTTCGTCATCTTCATCACGCCATTTATTCCAATCAACTTTCAGATATGGAGGAGTTTTTTCTTCTGATTTTAGAAGTCTTTTCCACCAGCCCCTCTGCTCTTTCTGTATTGAGCACAATATATTCCTCCATCCTGTTTTAGCTTTACACCCCTGCAAGGAAAAGGTAAAGAACTAAGAATATGAGCACTAAATTTCCTAAGAGCCTCCTAACCAAACTTCCAAGAAGCACAACATAAGATGCTACACATCCTAACTCCCAAAACAATTGATCAAAATGCTTGGCCGAGTTGTCATAAAGTGACATGTTATTTAGATGATGATGGGAAAATGATCATAAGAACACTTGTAGCTGTTTCAATCAAAAAATGTTTCTACCATTAAATGCTCCAAACTCTTGACAGTTACAAGATTTTGGAAAAATTCTACAGAGCTACTTATTAACCAATAATGTACGAAACTATGAAGTATTACACTATGTACTCATTCACAGATTTGGTCATAATAAACAAAGGTCCATGTCGATACAGCTCGAGCATATATGTGAGACTGCTAAAATGTAGCACAGGGGGCTGTTTAGGATGGCTCAAACTAACACCAACACTATTTCTCAATGCCACCAAAGAAGCCCCAACCATGAAAAAAGTAAGGAGAAGTGCACAACCTATAATTGTGATTATAAAAAAAAGTAGTTACCTATTTAATCTATAATACCAAACACGATGATATATATGGATACATTGAATTGTAAATAGATAAACAATTTGCAAGGATAACACTTAGATCTTGACTAGTCTCTCTGTTTTCCAATCATGATGCAAAAGGAAAAATCTTATTTCTCATTTCCCATTTCCCATTTCCCATTGCCCATTTCTACTAAAATCTTGGCCAGCTCTAACGTGGTCGATGGCTCGACGCTAGTGTAAGTTCCTAATTCATCCACATCCTATGGAGCAAAGAAAAATGATCTTGCATTTTGCACCGTCATTTCATTTACATTACCCCACCAAAATCGTAATTCTAAATCCTAACATGCTTTATACATTTTCTGGTAAAAGTTTACTACTCCATAGAGCATCTGTGATAAATTCAATGTTTTTATTTTCATCATCCCTAGGTGATAAAGATTTTTTTTTTCCTTTTGTGTTAACAATATTTTTAGAACTACTATCAAAACCCCAAACCTCTAAAAAGGGATATCTCAAACTTTTCTTCAATTGATATCAGGCACGTGTAAATTCCATTCATGTATGTATTCCATCTATGTTGATGCTACTCAAGAACAGGCATTAGCAACACAAGTGACATTGTAAAATAACCATACTCAAGCATAGGTCAACTTTTTAACACATAATCACAACTTACAAGTATATCTCCAGAATTGCTTCCATAAATGTTGAGTTTCTCTAGACAATAAAGGTGGGGGAACACAGCACCATATATTCACATATACTACCAGTGTTTAAGTTCAAAAGCTACCTTAGTGAGAGAATATGTATAGAGAATGAATTTTAAAAATGAACATGATTGTACGTAAGAACTTGGTAAGATAATAAATAATTAAATAAAAAGCTAAAAAAAAGGTGAAACTCCAAACCTTGTTCTATATTTTATTTTCAAGCACATACTATATATTCTTACAATTGTGTTCTATGTTTTTACAACTCCATGATTTATAGCATCAATACACTTCAATTTTCTTGGCAAAGAGATTCAAGAGTTATTCAAGAGTTTTCATTTTTTTAAATTAATATTTTGTCAATTTGAAGCAAATTGGATGTTTCTTTGGTAGTTTTGGAGAAATTTACAAACTTGTTAGCATGAATTTTGGAGAGAGGAGAGCATCTTCTTCAAGATTTAGACAATGGAGGAGAGTGAAAATGAACAAAACTTCAAACTTCAAGGGAGATGAAGAGTTGCATACTTGAGGAGAGAAGGAGTCTTCTTTAGGAGGAGGTATAATTTATAATGTAACTTTCTATTTAAGGCAAATATGGTCCCTTTTCTTCTTGACAAAAATAAAATATGATACTATAAAAATATGTTCTTACAAGAGCCTCTATATATGTAAAATATAAGTCCAAACTTCAATAAATTTTCCTGAACTTGAGAAAAATTTGACGCCCAAACTTCAGACATAGATATACTAGTTAATATATTTTCCATATTGAAAAGGAAAGAAAGTAAAAGGGAAATCTTTTGCATTTTCATAAATTAAGATATAAAAAATGAAAAGAAAGACAGAACAATAACAACAACGCATAAGCAGAGATATTCAGTATCCCACAAGCAATTCAAGGAATTCATTTTATTAAGTAGATCTGAAAAGAGTTTGGGATCTCAATATCAAGCTAATATAATTACTGGAGTTTCAGATAATTAACCCAATGCTTCAAAAAAGAAACCCCCTTCTCCCCTCCAAAACCCCCACCCGTACCTTAGATCCGAATGGAGATTGGAGGTCATATTTCCCAACAAAGAATGCAAATGACATGCATCTAACTTCACAGAACATAAGATACATAGGAAGCTTACAGAACATCACAACTACAGTTATAAAATATTAATTTGCTATATCAAGCAGCAGTAGCTTTCTTACAGTTGTCAAAGCGAATAGAACAGCAGAAGTTAAAATAAAGGGAACAAACCTCCGGTGCTATGGCTCCATACAGATCCAGAGTAAATTCATACTTCTCTTCTTGTGGCCCAGTGGCTGAAAACTTAAATAGTCCCTCGGGCTCACACTTCACTACGATATCTTTGGCTTCAGGCAATGAAACTGTCAAATAGACCTTATCAGAGCGTTGAGCCCAGAGAATCTCTGGGGTGCGACTGAAAATAGAGAGAAACAATTTTGTTTTCTTATTAATGCATGTTTTGACAAGAAATAAAACAAAATACATAAAAACCAATAACAGATTGCATTAGATTCAAGTCATTCAAATGAGGATATCAGTTCAGGTATACAAAGCAACCTGTATCCTCAATAAACACAAAAATCGTGTCACTTACCATTGCAGCCATTAGCGTACATTTTTCTAAACCAAACAAAGCATGATGAACAAGAAAACCCAAAGGGGGTTCAGTAACAGTGTAACAACCTACATATAACATGCACTTTATTTTTAAGTCTAGACTTTCGTGATTCATGTTCCTTCCTCTTTAAACAACAAAGAAATAGCGGAGTGTACAAGCTACTTACGAGGAAAATGCAAAACAAACAAGTCGTCTCACCACCAGAACAAACCCTCAACGAAACAAAAATTACACAAAAGTTCGAAAATCAATTGCTCAAATTTCGACCCCCCCCCCCCCTCCTCTTCTTCTTCAAAGGTTGGTTTATTTGATCAAAGTACATTGCATACTCTAAAGTCTAAACCATTTTAAAATCACCCCATCAATCCATTACTTTTATTTAGTGTAGCTAGACTCCGTCTAACCAGGATTCGAACCGGGCTTCCAAGGCTCGAACCCGAGACATCTAGTTAACTATCCAGTTTCTTTCAGGCGTCCTAGTATGATATCGAAAGGTCAGATAAACGCAAAAAGCACTTTCTAAATTCCACCATAAACATAACAAATTCATACAAAATTGACATCTCAAATTATAGCAAGCAAATAAAAGAAAATCCATGAAAAACCCAGGAATTTTTCACAGTTTATGATGAAATTGCTGCACAAAAAAACATGATCCAAGAACCCAATTCATATTAGGAAAAACAGACAACAAATGTATGCATTAAACACGATATTAATTGAAATTTGTATACCCATTAAAATATAGAGAGAGAGAGTAGCGATTAGCGAACCTCATTGTAAAGTAAACTGGCAGTTGAGAGCTTCTGAATGAGAAGTGAGAAAGTACGGAGTAATTCCAGTGATGTCGATACTCAGGGTCTCAGGGTTTCAACAAGTATTGTAAAGTAATGCAGTTTCAATTCTTGAATTCCTACCCATATAAATGGATTAAATTATAGAGATAAGTCGTTATTATATTATAAATAGAGTTATTAACGATTTTTGAGCTAGCAAAATAGGTCAAAGTGTAATTAGACGGATTCTATAAGGTCGCACAAAGTGCATAGATCGAGCATTAGAGGACGAGGCCGGCCATATGGAGGGTTTTGAGAGGATTTAGGCTTCGTAACCTGATCTAATTATAATAGGATTATAAATAAACGTCTAGGGTTGAACATACAATTCATGATCAGTTGGATCAAACCCTAATTAACCAACACGAAACCAACCCCTCTCATACTCCCTCTCGCTCACGACTCTCTCCTCCCCTCTCGGCCGGTAGTGCTCGGTGGTGGTGGTGATCGTTCGTGGTGGTCCAGTTGTCCATAAAGGTGGTGATCGTGGTTTTCCCCTTCACACGACCAATCTAGTATTGTTGGACGACTCGTTCGAATCTCGTGGACTAAGTAGAGAGTCATGTTTGGAGCTCTATTCTATCCCTGATTTGCCGATCGAATAGCTATGTGGAATTCACGCTTGAAAGGTATAATTATGGGATTCTTGTGTGTTATGCATGTGATTTTGGTTTAGATACTATAAATATGATTCATGAAATTCCGCTTATAATACCTATAAAGTCCTACCGTGGTTCGGTAGCAGTCCCCTCCCAATTGTTGTTGTGGGGATCGAACACGGGTCCTCATACCAAGTGTAGTCTCAATCACCACTTCACCAACGAAGAATTAGTAATATGACCTATTGTTTACTTGATTAATTGGTATATAGGACACGTGTTAATGTTTGATTGAAAAATTTAATTAGTTTTTTTATTTAATTTTTTTATAAATAATAATATTAATTATTATTATTATTATTAAAAAATAACCCCTCCCCCACCAGCCACCCTTTCCCATCCCTATCAGGCTGTTAGCACCCGTTCCCGTGCCCGACCCTCTGGCGATCACCTACCGACGTCATAATCCCCTCCTCGCACCAGAAACGCCAATCCTGACATCTCGCCCTCCCATTACCACCCCATCTCCCGTAACCCCCACGAAAACGCTAAAAACTCCCAAACCCTAGTAAATCGCCCTCCCTGACCCCCATCCCTAAAACCATAGCGGGTAGGGTTTTTGAGGGTAGAGGTAAGGGCGGTTAGGGTTTTAAGAGTGGGGAGGAGTTTTTAGCGGGTTTCATTGGGAGTGATGTGTCTATTTTATATAGTATTTTACCCCCATCCCTTGGTCATAATTAGTAGTGTTTTTGGCTCTTTAGAGCCACTTTTATTACTAATTGGGGTTTTCTAGTGTTTTCGTAGATTTGGTTGACTTTTGTAGGGATTTATGCTTTTGGAGTATTTTCCCGAGATATTTTAGAGCAATCACGAGCATTGGAGAAACACGACCAGATTTTATAGCCCAGAGCCGATTAGAGCCATCGAACCGGTGATTAAGGGCTCGGTATAGATGATACCGGGGCATTTGGACCGAGTATTCAAGACCCAAAGAGGAAACCCAGATTGACCCGAAGAATTGGAGCCCAATCGAAGTCCAAATAGTGGCCCAAATGAGCCGCCCGGCCGGGCGAGAGAAGTTATGGCTGGCGCCCGGTGACGCGCCCGGCCGGGCGCGAGATTGTTATTAGAGACAAAAAGGCTCGCCCGATCGGGCGCGTGTATTTTTAGGAGACGATTAGTGTCGTTTTAATTTGTTTTAGTTTAGGATTTTTGTACGGAGTATAAATACTCCTCCGTAATACGATTTTAGTACCTTCTTTCTTAGACTTTCTCTCTCTACTTAGTTCTCTCTCTCTTAATCTCTCTCTAAACCTTTGTTCTTAATTCTTTCATTAATTCCAGATTTATTTTGGTAACGATTTCTTTTCCCTTAATCTTAGCTATTTATTTTATTCCTTTCATCATGATTTATTTTATTACCTTGATTAGTTTAGTTTTTAATATGTGTGAGTAGTTTAATTTCTAGGGTTTATGGGGATCTAATAAATAATATGAAGGGGTAAATTATTGTTGTTGATTATCAATGCTAGATTAATTTCCTATTGATTGATTTAATGCTCTGTGACTAGATTAAGCCTATCTTTTATGCATGAGTTTGGCAATATTGATTCAAGAATCGAGAGATGAGAATTAATGTTTAGTTCTAGTTTCAATAGGCAAGTTAATTTATAAATGGTTAAGTCAAGATTCGAGAGATGAGATTTAATACCGGTAAATTAATTGTGTGATTGTAATACGTAGCGAGAGCCCTTTACAATCTGGTTAATTGATGCATTGATGATTGACTATTATTGATTATTGGTATTGCATGATGTTTTCTTATTGGATTGTTTTAATGTTTTACAATTGCGGCTTGTAAAAGTATAACAATATTAAATTGATGAATCGAGCAGATGTTAATTTGATATTAAAGGCTATTTTCAATAAGAACTTAGATCTAGTAAATTGCGAGAGCCTGTTAGATCTATGTTGATTAATAAATTGCGAGAGCCTGTTAATCATGTTATTTATGCAATGTCAATGATTGATTACTATGTTTTACCCTGGAGTATTATTTATTGGTGAACCTATGCCCTAGATCCTTTCATATAATGTTTTCTTCCCAATCTCAACCTTAGTAGTTTAGTCTTTTTACTTAATTATAAATATTGGTTACTTAAATAATTTAGATTATAATAATTAATTAGGAGTAAAAAGACTTGTTTCCCTGTGGAGATCGACCCTACTTCCCTATCTACCTTAGTTAGTGATTTAGGTAATTATTTTTTATTAGGGGATACGACTTTACCCTGTCAGGGAGGGAGGGGGTTTTGGAAAAGGTGTTTCAGGGGGAAGGGGAGGGGTGACTGCCGACAGCAGGGGAAGGAGGAAGGGCGTCGGGCCAGCAAGGGGGAAGGGGGAGGGTTGGGCACCAGAAAGTGGGATTGGGGAGGACGGGCTGCTTCGAGAAAAGTGGTTGTCTGGTGACTAGTGAAAGAGGTCGGAGGGGAGTGGTCTTACAAAAATTAATTAATTATTTTGGAAAATTTTAATTAATTATTTTATTAAAAGTTATTAATAATGTAATTAAAATTTACGAAGAAATTAACCATACTAAAAATTTGATTAGGAGTTAATTAGATCATTAAGCAATTTTGTTAATAAAAAAAATGTCAAACGGTCATTGGTAAATTATCTTGTTTATAACTATACCCCTCAAAGTTTTCGGTGTTTCTTTTTTTTTTTTTTTTTTAAAAAAAAAAATCTTCATGTTGTTTTGAACCTATTAAATTGCAACAAGCAACAAATAATTTGTTTTCATCAACTTTTTTGTGTGGTTGGCCATGCCGTGTTGCAAGCTAACACACGAGTAACCTCTGACCATCAACTTATGACCGACCGAGTAACCCTGACTGACTGAGTAACCGCTGACTCCTATGGCTGACCAAGTAACCCGACCATTCTTTCAAATGCCAAGATAAGTTTGTGATTTGCTTTAAAAAAAATTACCATTTTTTTCAGGTAACTAATAATTGGAATTAAAGAAAGAAAACACAAGTGAAAGTTGAGATTATTGCAAAATTTAGTAATCAAAAGTTGAGATTATTCAAAGAAAATTAGTCCAAATTGGGATTATTAAAAGGAAAATTTGATAATTACCACCAACTATGGTTGCTAAAATTGAAATTACCCCCTCAAGTTTTTTTTTTAATTTTACCACCTAGTTTTTTCCAAAAGTTTTCAAATTCCCACCTTTTGGGAGACATGACGTCATCAAGGGCCCACGCAACATTTTTCCCTCTCTTTCTCTCTCTCTCTTCCCTCGATTTCCCTCTTTCTTCCCCTGTTCTTCTACTCCCTTATTTCAGTTTCATCTCTCTCCTCTTCAATTCTCATTACTGTACTCTCACCCACCCAAATTTAATTTTAAACCCTAACATTCAACACTCAACTTTCACTCTCTCTCCTTTTCTTTCTAAAAGAACCCTTATCGCGGTACTTTCTCTAAGCAAAAGAGCAGTGTTGTGACTGAAGAAGAATTTAATGAGGGTTTGAAAAAGCAGCAGAACACTATCAGATCTACACCTAGAAGGAAGCATATAGCAACAAAAGGGAAAGGGAAGAAAGGTAGCAAGAAAGGTAGCAAGAAAGACAGCAAGAAAGTAAGCAAGGAAGGCAACAAGAAAGTGAGCAAGGAAGGCAAGAGTGGGAGGAAGCCTCTAATCTAATTTCACCACTCATACTTTGGTATTTTGGGCTGTAATGGTGTATTTTTTTTCACATGAACATGATCCTCGAAATGATTAATCACCACTACAATGTTAGTGTTTTCGCCCAATTACATGTTTAAATTATGTTTTTTCCCCCAATTACATGTTTAATTGTCCAAATAATCATTTCATAAACCCTAATTTTTTGAATTGAGCAAAAACCCCCAAATTGATGCAATTAACCATAATTAAACTACTCAATTAAGTTTATTCTACGTTAGATTGCAACAATTGTAACCTAATTTGCGAAAATTTCGTGTTTAAAATCGAATTTTCAGATTCAATTGGAAGGATATCGTGGGAAGAAAGATGGAAATCGAGATAGGAGAGAGAGAAAGAGAGGGAAAACGGTTGCGTGGGCCCTTGATGACGTCATGTCTCCCAAAAGGTGGGAATTTGAAAACTTTTGGAAAAAACTAGGTGTTAAAATTAAAAAAAGAAGAACTTGAGGTGGTAATTTCAATTTTGGCAACAATAGTTGGTGGTAATTATCAAATTTTTCTTATTAAAATGTAGTATTCCAAAAAAAAAAAAAAAAAAAAAAAAGTTAAAAAGGCTTGTTTGCGTGTGCTGACAAAGCGAAGAAGAGGGTGTTCTTAACTCTTAAGCACGATCTGATCTGGTCGACGCGACTCACGGCCGTGCCCACTGCTTCATTTCACGGACATTGGGTTTGCACTTTGCACTTTCACAAAATCAATTCATACCATCATCAATCAATTACATTT